GTGGAGGAAGAGGTGGAGGATGAGGTGGAGGACGAGGTGGAGGATGAGGAAGAGGTGGAGGACGAGGTGGAGGAAGAGGTGGAGGTGGAGGAAGAGGAAGAGGTGGAGGACTAGGTGGAGGAAGAGGAAGAGGTGGAGGACGAGGTGGAGGAAGAGGTGGAGGACGAGGTGGAGGAAGTGGAAGAGGTCGAGGACGAGGTGGAGGAAGAGGTGGAGGACGAGGTGGAGGAAGAGGAAGAGGTGGAGGAAGAGGTCGAGGACGAGGTGGAGGAAGAGGTGGAGGACGAGGTGGAGGACGAGGTGGAGGACGAGGTGGAGGAAGAGGAAGAGGTGGAGGAAGAGGTGGAGGAAGAGGTGGACTGTGAACGCTCTCCTGGCAGCGCGACACAGCGGACTGTGAACACTCCTGAAGACTCTAGGTAGCTAACGGCCACTGGCTTTAAATGAGCCACACGCATTAGTAATGATTACGGACTCACTGTGCATCAACACACAAACTATTTTGTGAGGATAGGACAAATGACAGGAAACTCCTCCAGGATTGGATAAATGACATGAAACTCTTCCAGGCAGTGGAGGCTGCTGAGGGGAGGATGGCTCGTAATAATGTCTGGAAAGGCGCTAATGGAATGGCATCACCATGGAAACCATGTGTCTGATGTATTTGATACCATTCCCCTTATTCCGCTCCAGCCATTACCACGAGCCTGTCCTCCCCAATTAAGGTGCCACCAACCTCCTGTGATTCCAGGATAGGATCAATTGGAATCAATTGTGAAATAAAAACAAATAAAATAAAGAATGAAGAATAGAGAAAGAAGTGCTGCACTATAGGGCTGGTAAGCATTTCAAATTGGGAATGACTGGTCCAGTGTTTTTTTGTTTGTTGTGTTATTGGTTTAGATACAAGCATCGTGAAACCTAAGTAGATAGTTGTATACGTCCGTTGTCTCTATAAGCTACAATATTACGTCCTAAACCGAGCATGAAAGTGCGTCCTTGTAGCTGTGTGGGCTAATATAGTTTAAATAAAGCAACACCTCACAGCACAACACCTCTCCCCCCCATGTGATCTACTAGTTGTGTGTATGTACTGACATGTATGTGGAACTGATAGATGCACACAAACACACTACAGGTTCATGTTTTTACATGTATGCAAATTGTAAGTGTTTTGTCTGTAATGTCTTTTTTTCGTTATGTGTCGGACCCCAGTAAGACTAGCTGTCGCCATTGGCGTCGGCTAATGGGGATCCTAATCAAATCAAATCAAATCAAATACCCAATACAAATGATTACATTTGGTCAGTTTTAAGCGTGGTGTTTTTACAATGTGTCATGCATATGAACTCAAGATGGTGCATTTGTATTGTTACAGAGCTGACATCATCATGCCCCGTGTATACAAACGTAAAACGAGAAGGGGTCTATTAGAGCAACAGCAAATAATGAAAAAACAGACTGAATTAAACTGATTTAAAAAAATTTAAACGTACCTGTCCGAAAGAGAAGCTATGATAGAGTAGCAGAGGCACACAAGGTCTTGTCTGATGACATAGTCTGAGCTTGCTAAACAGATCAAGATTCTCACGGATCGGTTTCACGGGCTTAGTAGCCTCAAATGCAGAGAATTTGCCTACAAAATTGGCACATCGAAACAACAGCCCTGTCCCAGACAACTGGTGAAGAAATGGAAGGGTAAGTCAATCAATCAAATTTATTTATAAAGCCCTTTTTACATTAGCAGATGTCACAAAGTGCTATACAGAAACCCAGCCTAAAAACCCAAACAGCAAGCAATGTAGAAGCACGGTGATATTGAACAGAGATCTACTAAATATACCAAACATTAAGAAAACCTTCCTAATATTGAGTTGCACCCCCCCCACCACCACATACACAATCCATGTCTCAGTTGTCTCAAGGCTAAAAAAAATAATCCTTTAACCTGTCTCCTCCCCTTCATCTACACTGATTGAAGTGGATGTAACAGGTGACATCAATAAGGGATCATAGACTGACAAGGTGAAAGTTATGTCATGGAAAGAGCAGGTGTTCATAATGTTTTGTACACTCAGTGTATAGCTGAATGTAGGCATATATTTAACATATTCAATATACCATACACCTATTCGGTGAATTAAACTTTTACCAACCAGCACCATCACCCACTTACCCCAAGGTGGCTCAACTTACCCTGTCCCTATACTCAGCTTAACCCAAAGAGACCACTTTTTTGGGACAACCTGTTTTCAAGTGTGATGTTTTCATGAATTCGGATACACAACATCCTGAAATACACTACCGTTCAAAAGTTTGGGGTAACTTAGAAATGTCCTTGTTTTCCATGAAAACATACATGAAATGAGTTTGAATAGGAAATATAGCAAAATGCATAGGAAATGTAGTCATTGACAAGGTTAGAAATAATTATTTTAAATTGAAATAATAATTGTGTCCTTCAAACTTTTCTTTCGTCAAATAATCCTCAATTTGCAGCAATTACAGCCTTGCAGACCTTTGGCATTCTAGTTGTCAATTTGTTGAGGTAATCTGAAGAGATTTCACCCCATGCTTTTTGAAGCACCTCCCACAAGTTGGATTGGCTTGATGGGCACTTCTTATGTACCATACGGTCAAGCTGCTCCCACAACAGCTCAATAGGGTTGAGATCCGGTGACTGTGCTGGCCCCTCTATTATAGACAGAATACCAGCTGATTGCTTTTTCCCTAAATAGTTCTTGCATAGTTTGGAGCTGTGCTTTGGGTCATTGTCCTGTTGTAGGAGGAAATTGACTCCAATCAAGCGCCGTCCACAGGGTATGGCATGGTGTTGCAAAATGGAGTGATAGCCTTCCTTCTTCAAGATCCCTTTTACCCTGTAAAATATCCCACTTTACCACCACCAAAGAACCCCCAGACCATCCCATTGCCTCCACCATGCTTGACAGATGGCATCAAGCACTCCTCCAGCATCTTTTCATTTGGTCTGCGTCTCACAAATGTTCTTCTTTGTGATCCGAACACCTCAAACTTCAATTCGTCTGTCCATAAAACTTTTTTCCAATCTTCCTCTGTTCAGTGTCTGAGTTATTTTGCCCATCTTTTTATTGGCCAGTCTGAGATATGTCTTTTTCTTTGCAACTCTGCCTAGAAGGTCAGCATCCCGGAGTCGCATCTTCACTGTTGACGTTGAGACTGGTGTTTTGCGGGTACTATTTAATGAAGCTGCCAGTTGAGGACCTGTGAGGCGTCTGTTTCTCAAACTAGACACTAATGTATTTGTCCTCTTGCTCAGTTGTGCACCGGGGCCTCCCACTCCTCTTTCTATTCTGGTTAGAGCCAGTTTGCGCTGTTCTGTGAAGAGAGTAGTACACAGCGTTGTACGAGATCTTCAGTTTCTCTGCAATTTCTTGCATGGAATAGCCTTCATTTCTCAGAACAAAAATAGACTGACGAGTTTCAGAAGAAAGTTCTTTGTTTCTGGCCATTTTGAGCCTGTAATCGAACCCACAATTGCTGATGCTCCAGATACTCAACTAGTCTCAAGAAGGCCAGTTGTATTGCTTCTTTAATCAGCACAACAGTTTCCAGCTGTGCTAACATAATTGCAAAAGGGTTTTCTAATGATCAATTATCCTTTTAAAATTATAAACTTGGATTAGCAAACACAACGTGCCATTGGAACACAGGACTGATGGTTGCTGATAATGGGCCTCTGTACACCTATGTAGCTATTCCATTTAAAAAAATCAGCCGTTTCCAGCAACAATAGCCATTTACAACATTAACAATGTCTACACTGTATTTCCGATCAATTTTATGTTATTTTAAAAAATGGACAAAACATTTGCTTTTCTTTCGAAAAACAAGGACATTTCTAAGTGACCCCAAACTTTTGAACGGTAGTGTATATGTAGATATATTTGTTAGAAAGAATACTATATTCCCCTTGATGTAGTGACGCTAAATGTAAACAAATTGCTCAATTTACCCCCCTCACCCCTACTGTTGTAAGAGGTTTCAGCTGCAGCCAGCCTGTTCCTGAGACTATCTGCTTAATGCGGTATTGATCAACACTGCCACCTAGTGTTAGAAGTGTGTAACTCCATGGACTTTTCTGTCGACCATTCATTCATCGTAATCGTCACAGTCCATATTATACATACAATAACAATAAAAAATATTGTTCTGAGTGTACAGTATTAAAAAAAATAACATTAAAGTTGGTCTTGTGTGTATATGTTTGAAACTAAAACAACTCAGAACAGCCTCAATTCGTCAGGGCATGGACTCTACAAGGAGTCGAAAGCGTTCCACAGGGACGCTGGCCCATGTTGACTCCAATGCTTCCCACAGGTGTGTCAAGTTGGCTGGATGTCCTTTGGGTGCTGGACCATTCTTGATACACACGGGAAACTGTTGAGTGTGAAAACCCCAGAAGTGTTGCACTCCAACCGGCACCTACTACCATACCCCGTTCAAAGGCACTTAAATCTTTTGTCTTACCCATTCACCCTCTGAATGGCACACATACACAATCCAAGTCTCTATTGTCTCAAGGCTTAAAAATCCTTCTTTAACCTGTCCCTCCCCTTCATCTACACTGATTGAAGTGGATTTAACAGGAGACACCAATAAGGGATCATAACTTTCACCTGTATTCACCTTGTCAGTCTATGTCATGGAAATGTTTTGTCCATCAGTGTATTTATGTTTCTCATTACATCACATTTTAAAACAATGATACATAAAAATCTTTAAGATTATCTCTGCATTGAGATTTCTCTTTGTGATCCTCTGTTTGATTGACATTTACAAAAAACATTTATTTTTTTTGCTTACACAAAAATGTTATTATTAAAACTTTATGATCTATGTAGAACTGAACGTTCCCACTGTGCATTATTCTACTGAGCCTGTATGGAACTATTCGTTTCTCCAGCCCCACTCATCAGCTGTTTACAAAAAAAAGTGTCGGGTTGACCGCTTGTTGTCGTTTGAATCCCAGATTGCCCCTTTAAGATTTATGCAGAACTGAAGTGTCCTTGCAACTAGTCTGACTCAACAGTGGAACAGATCAGTGATGGTGAGTTGTGTTTTGGACACAGCTAGAGCAGGATACAGTGGTTCACTGAACCTCTGTTTAAAACAATGGAGCAAGCTCAGAGCGTCCCCTTGTGCCACTTTATAGAACGACAGGCTACCCTCCTCGAAATCCAGCAACACCCCTACCCTCTCCAGCCCATCGACCTCCACAGGGACAGCCACCTTCAGAATCAGAGGAATCAGAATGAGAGAAAACTTTATTGCAATGCAGCAAATTTGCCTAGGAATTTCTCTTGGTGTTGTACAGAGAAGCGTCCACATAGATCTTATTCACTTCTATATGTAATTCTATGGAAGCATCCATATCAGTTATCACTTCCACATACCTTGTCGTGCAGGGCTTCAATCTTCCCCCTCTCACTCAGCAGGCACCAAGAATAGGGGTTGAACCCGATACGGCAGGTGTCTTTCTGGCCCTTACGGCCGATCTGACCCTCGCAGACTCCCACCTGTAGACAAGCGCAATGGTCTATGACAATGCTGTACTAGGCAGTGCGATTTTATTTTGGTGCATTTGATTTAGCTAAAATAGTGCCAATAAAGGGTTCCCAAAAATTAAAAATCAATGATGTACTCTTGACAGGGCTTAGTTAAATGCAATAGGGATGTGAAATGTGAAATGTGTTCATGTTGTTGATGATGTTGTTTATGTTATGATGTGTTACTAGCTATATGCTATGTGATGTTTTACCTTTTTAATATTTGTACATGGCAATAAAATCTAATCTCCTCTGTAATAAAATCTAATCTCCTCTGTAGCTCAGCTGGTAGAGCACGGCGCTTGTAACGCGAAGGTAGTGGGTTCGATCCCCGGGACCACCCATACACAAAAATGTATGCACGCATGACTGTAAGTCGCTTTGGATAAAAGCGTCTGCTAAATGGCATATTATTATTATTTATTATTATAACATATTAGAATAAAATGCCATTTAGCAGATGCTGAGAAACTAATAGCAATGGTACACCCTCTGATCTCTTACCTTCCATTTGCCCTCGTCCTTCTCCACCTCCACCTCCCAGTACGCACGGCCTCCCTCCAAGGGTTTATAGGCCAAGACCTGGGGGAAGGAGCTAAAGCGAGCCCCCTGCTCTGGGTAGGCCTGCTGGACCTCGCTGTAAGACACCTTCCTGTTCTCCTCAGAGAGGAGCAGCTTGGGGTGGGCTGTGTCCGGGTCCAGACGGGGGCTGGTACCATCTGGACAGAACACACAGAGATATTGAATGAAAACCAAGGTAGAGGCTGGTGCCATCTGTACAGAACACAAAGATATATTGAATGAATACCAAGGTAGAGGCTGGTGCCATTTACACAGAACACAAAGATATATTGAATGAATACCAAGGTAGAGGCTGGTGCCATTTACACAGAACACAAATAAATATTAAATGAATAAATATTAAATGAATACCAAGGTAAAGGCCCTTTACACAGAACACACAAGAGGGGCATGAGCAAAAGAGGTTTGTCAGTCAAAAACGACCCATAGTCATTGGCATTGAACTTGTCTGGTGCGGTGATTGATATAGACTGGCAGATTTTGAATGGTTCCGGATGGCGGTTTGCTAACCCTATGCCTTACCTAAACCCTAAATGGTCATCCTAACCGTAACCTATTTTAATACCCATGGCTGAATATCCACTTCCTTCTGAGTAGGGAGCTGGTATGGTGTAGGGCAGTGTTTCCCAAACTAGGGGTCGCCTGATATTAAAATGGGACCGCAAGAGAAACAATGAAATAAAAAATTGCGCTTGGTTCATAGAACATCAGTAAACTCGGGTAGCAGCAGTTGTAATAACCAGCTGTTTTCTGTTTTCTTCCTACAAATGTGGCTCTATCTTCTGAACGGTTTAAGCTACAACATATTACGACCCCATCGCTGACAGATAAGACTCTCATGAGTCGTTCCCTCTACAATGGCCAAGCCGTGCACGACTCATTACAACAGACTAGACAAGACCAAGCACTAAATCAGACTAGGGGGGGAAAAGAACATCATCAATTATGTTATTTTCGACACAGAAAATCATGCAAAATTATTGCCTGAACATCTGCATTTCCCAATACCTTTCTGATGCATTTCAGTCACTTCAAACCACTTCCTTCAGAATGAAATACTGTCAAGTACTGTCAGACTGATTTGGAATATATATGGTCATAGCCCAAATTAAAAAATGTAAACATTGGCCGTTGATTACATCACATATTTCACATGGTGGGGTCGCATATATGTTTTTTTTTTTTTTTTAATATAGTAATGAGGCCAAAAAAGTTTGGGAACCCCATGGTGTAGGTACTGTATGAGATTGGGGGTGACTTACAGAGCAGCCTGAAGGGGTCCCGGTCAGGCAGGGAGATGACCACTGAGTTCAGCCGCCTCGATGTCCACTCCTGTAGGCATCCCAGCCTGGCCTTGTCCACCTCCTCTGGAGCCTCCAGCTCCTCCACAGAACAGCTCTCGGACACACTGGAGAGGGCGGAGCAGGAAGAGGAAGAGGAAGAGGAGACAGGATATGAGGTTTACTCTCAATACAGGCTGTAATACTATTACTAAGAATCTATTTGTCAAACCATACTACGGCTATTTTCATTCTGTAAATATACCTGAAACTAACCACGGTATCCATACATGTCATAACGCTACGACAGTGAATGTCGCCTGATCTACAGAAAACGTAGCATAACATACTTTCACCAAGGCACTTAATCTGTAGGAGGGATGTTGGGGAATAGTGGTCTGAGTAATTTAGAAAATGAAGCGAAGCGTATTCTATAATTATATAAGAGCTCTTAGACTTTCTGCTTAACACACCGACTCAGTTCTGCTGACTTGGTAGGACTTCATTTCTCTCTTAGAAACTATATGAGAAGTAGCCCATCGTCATTTATAATAGCTGCTTACCTTTTGGTTATCTTACTGTACTCCTGTCACGAACAAAAGGAAAGATAGGAAAAACATGGGTACATGGATGTTACATGTAATTAGTTCCGGTATGTAAACACACTCTCCATACAATAGTACCATTTAGTATGTGCCCTATGTTCCTCCAGGAACTAAGAGGATTAAGTAAGTCAAGTAAGTACCACGATGAAGGACTGCTCCTGTACGCGTGCAGCCCCCCGGGTGTCGGCCAGCCCCTCCAGAGTATGAAGACCCCTTTGGAGGGAGGAGAGGGACTCCTGGAGCTGGGTCAGCTGTTCCTCCAGCCCCCCCACTGCTCTGCTCTCCTCCTGGGTACACACAGCACATAACAATTGAAAAAAAAAACTCACTACTGTACTAATTTTTTTAAAACTACGTTTTAATTGAGAAGTAGGCATTGGTCGGTCTGAGGCCGAAAAAAAAGAAAGGAAATTCACATGAGCACCAAAGGTACCAACAACAACTCCAGATTAACGCCCGTGATTTTGGAATGAGTTGTTCGACCAGCAGGTGTCCACATACTTTTGGCCATGTAGTGTAGCTGTGTTGTTGCCGAGCAACCGAGTTGCGACACCGTGTTAGAACTCTGAGCTTTGGCTAAAAAAAATATGTTAGCATTGTCAGAAATGCTACAAAAAAGGTAGCACATCTTTGGTTCTTAATGGACAGAAATGAGCACGTGAAAGCAATAAATTACACATTTAATCAAAACTGTTGCCCCTACAAACGTATTCAGTCCGAAAGGTGGCAAGTCTGATGGTCCCTTTATGGACACCTAGATACTGAGCTAGGTCAGGGACAGACATTTTATTTCTTTGACTAATGCTAACGACCTTGTTCAAAATCCAGTATGTGGTTCTGGTTAACGGCCGGACGGCTCATGAGGAGAGGCAGGGAGTGTGTTGTGTACCTCCAATCAAGGTGATTTGCTCATTTTCATCGACATTGGTGTCATATTGGCTTAGATATGATGGTAGGGAGATTTTAATTTAACATTGAGCTTCAATCAAAGCCTACTATTGGGCGCCAGTCAATTAAGAGAGCGACAAGTGTCACTACAGGAAGTACAGCCCACGTTTTTGTTCTAGACCTGCACCGACACACCTGATTCACCCATCACTCTCTTAATGCAGTTGCAATTAAAGGCTTTGTTTTTCTTGTTTTTTTTTTAGCTTAAAAAGGCAACATATCCTACTAGAACACATACATTTCAGTTGACTGTTGACTTCCAAGCACTGTTTCATTATTATTATTTTTTTTTAGGATAGAGTTGAGCATGTTCTCTCCCTTCTTTACCCGAGTCACACACAGCAGGGCCGTGCCTTCCTCCTGCTGCAAGGCCTCCTTCATGGCCCCGTACCGCTGCTGTACCCCCGCACGCGCCTCTCCCAGCAACATCTGGGGAGAGGAGGAATCAGTGTTGACATAGTTGTATCCAAAACGCCTTACATACAGATACAGCCAGTGTAGTGGTGAGTCTAATGCAGTTGTCATCATGGACCCTGGTTTTAAAGGTCTAGGGGGATACAGTAGGATTTTGCTCCAGGTCAGACTTAAAATACCTGGTCCAACTAAGGTCCTGTCTTCTTACCTGGAATCTCAGTTTCTTCTCTGTAATCTCAGTCACTCTGCTCATTAATGACTGTTCTGTTTCCTGCATCTTCTTCATCTCCTGTTTCAGATTCCCCTGCAAGACAAAACATAGTGTCATCATCCTGTTTCAGATTCTCCTGCAATACAAAACATAGTGTCATCATCCTGTTTCAGATTCCCCTGCAAGACAAAACATAGTGTCATCATCCTGTTTCAGATTCTCCTGCAAGACAAAACATAGTGTCATCATCCTGTTTCAGATTCCCCTGCAAGACAAAACATAGTGTCATCATCCTGTTTCAGATTCCCCTGCAATACAAAACATAGTGTCATCATCCTGATTCAGATTCCCCTGCAAGACAAAACATAGTGTCATCATCCTGTTTCAGATTCCCCTGCAATACAAAACATAGTGTCATCATCCTGTTTCAGATTCCCCTGCAAGACAAAACCTAGTGTCATCATCCTGTTTCAGATTCCCCTGCAATACAAAACATAGTGTCATCATCCTGTTTCAGATTCCCCTGCAATACAAAACATAGTGTCATCATCCTGATTCAGATTCCCCTGCAATACAAAACATAGTGTCATCATCCTGTTTCAGATTCCCCTGCAAGACAAAAAATATAGTGTCATCATCCTGTTTCAGATTCCCCTGCAAGACAAAAAACATAGTGTCATCATCCTGTTTCAGATTCCCCTGCAAGACAAAACATAGTGTCATCATCCTGTTTCAGATTCCCCTGCAAGAAAAAACATAGTGTCATCATCCTGTTTCAGATTCCCCTGCAAGACAAAACATAGTGTCATCATCCTGTTTCAGATTCCCCTGCAATACAAAACATAGTGTCATCATCCTGTTTCAGATTCCCCTGCAAGACAAAACATAGTGTCATCATCCTGTTTCAGATTCCCCTGCAAGACAAAACATAGTGTCATCATCCTGTTTCAGATTCCCCTGCAAGACAAAACATAGTGTCATCATCCTGTTTCAGATTCCCCTGCAAGACAAAACATAGTGTCATCATCCTGTTTCAGATTCCCCTGCAATACAAAACATAGTGTCATCATCCTGTTTCAGATTCCCCTGCAAGACAAAACATAGTGTCATCATCCTGTTTCAGATTCCCCTGCAATACAAAACATAGTGTCATCATCCTGTTTCAGATTCCCCTGCAAGACAAAACATAGTGTCATCATCCTGTTTCAGATTCCCCTGCAAGACAAAACATAGTGTCATCATCCTGTTTCAGATTCCCCTGCAAGACAAAACATAGTGTCATCATCCTGTTTCAGATTCCCCTGCAAGACAAAACATAGTGTCATCATCCTGTTTCAGATTCCCCTGCAAGACAAAAAACAGTGTCATCATCCTGTTTCAGATTCCCCTGCAAGACAAAACATAGTGTCATCATCCTACCATCAATAGAAAACATGCTTTTGTTCTCTGAAATATGTATTCATACTATAAACGCTTGTGATATGGTTATTCACCACTACGATCCTTTAGTTGGACAACATTAATACTATAGCTCATACAACTGGGATGTGATGAGGTACGTTTTTAGTGTTTGGTAATAGTTAGGTAATCCTCCCTCCTCTGTTTCTCACCCTCAGCTCCCTCTCGGCCTCTCTGATGCTGACGCAGGCGTGCTCCCGGTGCGACCCGATCACGGTACACACGGTGCAGACACACACGCTACACTGCTGGCAGTAGATCCGGTTCATCTCCTGGTGTTCCGGGCACCTGATGGTAATGTAAGTTGTACTTGTAATTCAGCTTGTTGCTGCCAGTTGTATAATGATTTGTCAAATAATCCATCAAATAACAATTATCAACTTAATGAAATGTTGAAACACAAAAGTATTACAAGAATCAAGACATTACTGCAATACCATCCGAAGTTGTTAGGAATTTGAAAAGGAAATTCACATGGGGCACCATGATGCTGTTTGATAAGGTTTGAACACAGACAAAAATAATACCTACACATATACAACAGAAAGCACACATGGTAGAACAGTTGAGAGTACAAGTGCAAAACACCATCAACATACAAAATACATTTCCTCTCTCCTCGCAACTGACCTTATCATCCAATGGGTTTTGAGAAGGAGGAGGAGGAGAAGAGATGATGCAAGGAAATGCAATTGAGATTGAAACCTTACCTCCAGGGTGAGATGTCCTCCACGGCGGGTACCAGGGTGTGGCTCTGGAAGACAGGGGACTCCAGGTGGGGGCGGAGGTGGTCGGAGCACATGGAGGCCCCACACACCAGGCAGGTCTTCACCGCAGGGAGAGAGCCCTGGCTGGGGCAGTAGTGGCAGGGCAGGAGGGTCTCCCTAGAGGTCTGGCTGGAGGTCTGGCGAGCCAGGCTGGGGGACAGGTTAGTACGTCCAGGGGACAGATTGGTACGTCCAGGGGACAGGTTGTTGGCAGCACGGGTAGGAGAGGTGGAGGTGCTGATTATACCAGGGGATCTGTTGTGGATCTCTGGAAGTGTCTCCCTCTCAGCTTCAACAGGCTTCTCCTTTGTAGGGGTGACTAAATGTAAACGGGTTGTTTGGGTAGTTTCAGCAGATTTCTTGGCGGGTGTGTGGGGTTCTCTCACAGGGGGTGGCGGTGGGTCCAGTTCAATGACGGTGATTCTTCTTGGCGATGTGTTGTTGATGCTACCTGCTGCTGCTGGTTCAGGTGATTTTCTAGGGTCATTCAGGGGTTCTCTTGTAAGAGGTTCTGTTGTAGCAGGGGGTTCGTCCAGCTCAATGGGTGGGTCTCTCCTAGGGGACCTAGACCTATCACATGTCAGGTCCGGACCTCTGGCAGTGGCGGACTTTTTACTAGACGGTTTGGTTGCTAAGGAGAACGGTGCTGCTGGCGCCTCCTCCTCACTGGACAACTCAACGTCAGACGACGTGTTCTGATTGGCTGAAGAGGAGGAAGAGGAAGTGGTGGGTATCTTACTGTCACCAGCCTGTCCCTTGGAGTGGGAGGAAGAGGAGCTGCCAGTGGCTTGTCTCTTGTTGTCGTGACGATGGCCACCTGGGACAGGTGAACTGGCAGGTCTCTTCCCTAACAGACGCTTGGATAGAGAGATGGAGGATCTCTTCCCAAGGGTCCAGCCCAACGGATTGATCTCAATGACTTCCTCTTCATTGGCTCTGCCTATATACCCAACAAGACACACATAACACAAATAAATTAGTAGTGATTAGGCCCATTTAGGATACATCAAAAGGGCACAAACCCTAGCTAAATCAAATAAATAAAAAATTGTCATGCACTGAATACAACAGGTGTAGACTTTACCGAGAAATGCTTGCTTACAAGCCTTCCCAACGATGCAGAGTTTAAAAATATTTACAAATAAACATAATATCTTTAGATAGAATAGAATAAGGTCTATTGATTATAAGGCAAGTGACTAGACTACAGTAGACTTCGACCTGTGTCGTTACTCGTGGGCGTCAGTCAATATAATGCTGTTGTTAATGTTCCAATCATAGCCAAGTCATCATCACCATATTAAAACAACGTGTTAACAATCGGTTATTGTTTTACTGTAGGCCTAGTACCATTAGACATGTAATTTACATATTTCCCAGCAGTAGCCTACCTTTGGAAATGTTCGTTCCCATGACTAGCCAGCCAACCTGGGGTGTATTCATTATGTCTTGCAACGGAAACAGTTTACCGTTTAAGAACCAAACGGAAGCTGACAGAGCAAACGGAACGAAACATACCAGAATTTGTCCAATAGAAACTCTCTTTTCGTTTTCCGTTTGAAGTAAACGGTTTGTGTTGCAAAACGTTTTGTAACAGACGAAACATTTTGCAACAGAATCGGCGTAATGAATACACCCCTTGTCCCCAGGCTAATCGCGCATGGGCGGATCTTGTCTGGGGAATTTAGGAAGTTACCTGTGGCTGCGGTGGTGCGTGTATGTGCAGGCGCTTCATCTCGCCACGGCCTTGCGGTTGTGTCTCTCTTAAACCCAAACGGTAATGTATTGTACTCCTCCTTGCACTCGGGACAGTAGTAGGGACCGGTGGGCGAACCGCTCCATAACTCCTGTATACAGCAATAGCAGAAAAAATGTTTGCATCTCAGCGCGGGCGGATTCCGACAAATACCGTGGCATAAAGAACACACCGGGGGCTCGCAGGACGGGGTATCCAACGACGCACCCATCTTGCCCGGTAAAAAGCGATATTTGTTTCGTTTTTTGTCAACAACACGACAGAGTAGACAGTCAGGAAACGAAAATGTCAAATTAGGAGGAGCCAAGTGTTTGAATTACGTACCCAGTCTAGTCCGCCCACTGTGCCCCACACTTAAAGATACAGTAACACAATCTCTTGTTTTACCCGAAAACATGTTGTTAGGCCTACAGATCAAACTACGCAGTGGCCTGGCCTAGTGTCATCATTTGAAGAAAACAAATACATGAGGAAAAATAATGCATACTTGTTGCCCTACCCAGCAGTTTTTGGATTGCTATGATTGTAAGGTACCCAAGGGTTAAAAGCATACTGGCCTCTCTCTCTCTCTCACACACACCATTTTGACTTCACATTACATAGATTTTGAATGTTTTGTAACATAGATTGTGGAAGTTAATCTCTGAACATAGGCCTACTCTAACCTTACAGTTATTTCTTAATCAGATTTACTGAACAATGCCATTACGTGTTCTGTGTTTCATTCATAGTTTAAATTATCCAAGGTGGCCTGGGCTTTTGGAGCTGGGACATAATATAATAATATGCCATTTAGCAGACGCTTTTATCCAAAGCGACTTACAGTCATGTGTGCATACATTTTTACGTATGGGTGGTCCCGGGGATCGAACCCACTACCCTGGCGTTACAAGCACCATTGCTTTACCAATTGAGCTACCTGAGGACAAACACTTCTGAATGTAGTAATGCATTCAGAAACAGATCAGACAAACACTTCAAAATAGGGCCTACAGCAGCCTTTTCCCAATCTCGATCCTGGGGACTGGGGAGGGGGTGCACGTTTTAGTTTTTTTGCACTAGCACTACACAGCTGATTAAAATAATAAATTCATCATCAAGCTTTGATTATTAGAATCAGCTGTGTTTGTGTAGTGCTATGGCAAAAAAACTAAAATGTGCATCCCCTCCCCAGTCCCACTCAAAGGTAGCCTGGCTGACACGACCAGAGAGGAAAAGGAGAAGCCAGAGGGATGACTGGGCCCAAAATCTGTCTTCTCCAGCAGGTGGTGTTTTAAAATAATTTTTTTAGCTCATCAATCGACAAGTTTTTGTATGGAGGTCAATCACAGCGTCGAATTTGGTTAACAAAAAAATGTAATCGCTTATTTGCTCGAATAGAAGTTTGGTAATGATTAGGTTGTTCTGAGTGTACTGATTAAAGGAGGACACGTGACATCACGGCAACTTTTAGAAAAAAACACTAGTTGTGCCTATTGTTCACACGTATCTGCCCTCTCATTGGCTAGAATGGTCTCACCTGATCTTGCCTCCTCCCGACTGCCTTCCATGTTTTAAGACATTTATTTTCATTGTTAGAACTCTGACATACTGGTCTGGATAGGAGGCCTTTGTAATTGCAGTATTCGCTCAGAAATTGAGCTGAAACAATGATTGGTTCTCAACAACAACAAAAAAAAGGACTTTGAGGTAAGTGTTCGCCAGACTAACTCATAGGTCCCACTCACCCAAGCAGGCACATTAAAACAAGGAGCACTGATGAAGCATTAGAATGGCAGAGTATTTCAACCACACCACCTCTAACAAATTGGAACTGAAAGAATATGACTGTTCTTTATAAAAAGCCAGTTGCTCCCTGACAAAACAAGCGCACACCCTGCTGAAGCTTACAGCACCTGGTATTCCCAGGGATTCTGCCAGCCAAGTACTAACCAGGCCCAACCCTGTTTACCAGCCGAGACGGATGAGATCGGGTTTATTCAGGCTGGTATGGCCGTAAGCAAAGGAGTAATTGTCGGTACACAATATAAAGTTGATGAGCCTCTGGAATAGACCTCTGCCAGCTCCTCTGTCTTTCAATATTGGCATTACAGAAATATGTATACAGAGATTGACAGCTTCTAGTGTAAAAAAAAAAAAAGGCAGACGAACGTGACCGACAGCAGCACACTTATCAGCACCAGTTTTGCGGACAGCACTCATATCACACCGGAATGTTATTTATTTTGTTCACATTATAATAATAATAAGCCATTTAGCAGACGCTTTTATCCAAAGCGATTTACAGTCATGCGTGCATAATTTTTTTTTGTGTATGGGTGGTCCCGGGGATCGAACCCACTACCTTGGCGTTACAACCGCCGTGCTCTACCAGCTGAGCTACAGAGGACCACGTTATCAGGGCAGGGAAGCACATACAAGCTGCTTTTGAGTAAAATAACAATACAACATGATATTATTGATGTTAATACATATAAGACAGTTGCTTCCTGATTAAATAGTACAGAAGTATACTCTACTGGACAAAAAGCTTACAGTACCTGGTATTCCCAGCAGTGGCGTACTGCAGTTTCGCAAAGTCTGAGCAAGGGCCAGAAATATACACTGCTCAAAAAAATAAAGGGAACACTAACATAACACATCCTAGATCTGAATGAATGAAATAATCTTATTAAATACTTTTTTCTTTACATAGTTGAATGTGCTGACAACAAAATCACACACAAATTATCAATGGAAATAAAATGTATCAACCCATGGAGGTCTGGATTTGGAGTCACCCTCAAAATTAAAGTGGAAAACCACACTACAGGCTGATCCAACTTTGATGTAATGTCCTTAAAACAAGTCAAAATGAGGCTCAGTAGTATGTGTGTGGCCTCCACGTGCCTGTATGACCTCCCTACAACGCCTGGCCATGCTCCTGATGAGGTGGCCGATGGTCTCCTGAGGGATCTCCTCCCAGACCTGGACTAAAGCATCTGCCAACTCCTGGACAGTCTGGTGCAACGTGGCGTTGGTGGATGGAGTGAGACATGATGTCCCAGATGTGCTCAATTGGATTCAGGTCTGGGGAACGGGCAGGCCAGTCCATAGCATCAATGCCTTCCTCTTGCAGGAACTGCTGACACACTCCAGCCACATGAAGTCTAGCATTGTCTTACATTAGGAGGAACCCAGGGCCAACCGCACCAGCATATGGTCTCACAAGGGGTCTGAAGATCTCATCTCGGTACCTAATGGCAGTCAGGCGACCTCTGGCGAGCACATGGAGGGCTGTGCGGTCCCCCAAAGAAATGCCACCCCACACCATGACTGACCCACCGCCAAACCGGTCATGCTGGAGGATGTTGCAGGCAGCAGAACGTTCTCCACGGCGTCTCCAGACTCTGTCACGTCTGTCACATGTGCTCAGTGTGACCCTGCTTTCACCTGTGAAGAGCACAAGGAGCCAGTGGCGAATTTGCCAATCTTGGTGTTCTCTGGCAAATGCCAAACGTCCTGCACGGTGTTGGGCTGTAAGCACAACCCCCACCTGTGGACGTCGGGCCCTCATACCACCCTCATGGAGTCTGTTTCTGACCGTTTGAGCAGACACATGCACATTTGTGGCCTGCTGGAGGTCATTTTGCAGGGCTCTGGCAGTGCTCCTCCTGCTCCTCCTTGCACAAAGGCGGAGGGAGCAGTCTTGCTGCTGGGTTGTTGCCATCCTACAGCCTCCTCCACGTCTCCTGATGTACTGGCCTGTCTCCTGGTAGCGCCTCCATGCTCTGGACACTACGCTGACAGACACAGCAAACCTTCTTGCCACAGCTCGCATTGATGTGCCATCCTGGATGAGCTGCACTACCTGAGCCACTTGTGTGGGTTGTAGACTCCGTCTCATGCTACCACTAGAGTGAAAGCACCGCCAGCATTCAAAAGTGACCAAAACATCAGCCAGGAAGCATAGGAACTGAGAAGTGGTCTGTGGTCACCACCTGCAAAACCAGTCCTTTATTGGGGGTGTCTTGCTAATTGCCTATAATTTTCACCTGTTGTCTATTCCATTTGCACAACAGCATGTGAAATTTATCGTCAATCAGTGTTGCTTCCTAAGTGGACAGTTTGATTTCACAGAAGTGTGATTGACTTGGAGTTACATTGTGTTGTTTAAGTGTTCCCTTTATTTTTTTGAGCAGTGTATTTAGCTAACAGCTAACTTCCTACAATCTATACAATTTGCAATGCCGCAGAGAACATTTTTCATTTTTAAAGCTAATTTCCTGCTATTCTACACATTTTGCTATGAGGCTGAGAGAACATTTTGCAGTTTTACAGCTAATTTTCTGTCATTCTAAAAATGTTTGGTATGGCTTTAGTCTGCCTAAACTGAGAATTCTCAACTCCACGATTATGTACATCACATTAATGGAGTGGAGTGGCGATGAGTGTGCGGACTGTATCTCTGACTACATCGAGTCGCTGTCAGTCGATACGTTAAAAAATGTAAATTATTTAACCCTTACCATGTAACTATGTTTGTCCTCTGTAGCTGCGTGCCTTTGTTTGCTGAAATCCTTACTCTTTTATAAACCGTTCATCAAATACAACCACCGACTGTTTCTGTTGCTCTAAGATGGCAACTCAGCGTGAATGCCAATAGAGCTCGCCAGCTTGTAGTCCTAAAACACAGAAATGAGCTACAGCTACCTATGGGGGAAATGAATGGGGTTTTGGGATAAACGTTAAATTCTGAGGCTTAGGAGATCAATATAAGTTTTGTTCTATGAGAGATAATATCAGTCAGTTAACATGACCTTTATGAATTATGAAGCCTTTGTGCTTTTTCTGATTTACATACATTCTTCGAAATTCACAAAAAAGTGACTTTAGCTGAAATGTATAAGATCTCCTAAGCCTGTTTACCGCAGATCTTATTTTTAGCGTTTATCCCCCAAAAACATACATTTCCCGATAGGCTTTGGCCAACGAGTGCCTGCAAAAAGATAGCATTACTATTACTGCTCTATATAGGCTCTATGCACGCATCACTTCCGCCTTGGCGTAAGGATGCTTGGGCATGTCCGGTTACCGGAAAAAAACATTAGACAGTGACAGTAGACCGTTATGATGGCAGAGATGAAGTTTACAAGGTGTTTGCTGGAGTTGCCTAAAGTATCTGTTAATGATATACGGACGGTCGTCCGGACATCCAGTACGACACCACGTAGCAAACTGGATAAAGGCTTCACATTTTTACGTTTCTTATTTTCTTTGCAACTTTGAAGGTAATATGCTAACGCTAGCTAGCCTGA